CTTACTTTCAACATTTTTTGCAACACCTGACCGACACTACCATTGACAGATCGAACTAAATGCTCTTGTACAAAAACCGAATGGCATAACCGTGAATTCAAACATTCCATATTTTGTTACAAAGGCTATTTTTTCATAGTCTTTTTCATTTATTTGAACCTGCTAGTAGCCAACTGGCAAGGTCCAAGCTATTAAACCATTGTGCACCACCGAAGGCTTCTAATAGATCATCAATGTGTGGAATAGGATATGCATCTTTTTTTGTTACTTTGTTCAAACACCTATAATCAACACACATTCTCAAATTTCCATTTTTTTTGGCACCTAAACTATAGGTGATGCTCATAGACCAAACGATTCTCTTATCAATCCCTTTCCTTTAGTTTCTCCAATTCTTCACACACAAAGTCTTGCTTATTTGGGGCTAATCGATATGGCAGTTGCTTTATGGGTTCGGCATTTTGAGTTTTGATTACACGTTTTATGAGGTTTGTTTATCCAAGTTCTTCTAGTCTATTTGCAAATAAGTTCTTATTGTTTTTAAATAACTCTCTTATGCTTTCTTTATATTTTTCTTTGATATTCGTATCTTCAGTGATCTTATTTAATTGTTCTTCGATTGTTGGTTTTTTATTAACAGAGGCCGTTTTTCCAGTTAGTATTTCTTCTATTACCACCAAACAAACTGCCAGGCTTTTTATTTCAATAATTTTATTAGTTTCCTCTGACTCTATTTCTTCAGCACTTTTTTCATCAATTGAAACACAGTCGGACGAAAAACTTTTGAGCTCTTCTAACTCTTTGCTTTTATATTCAATCTCATCAAATATTTCATCGATATCATCTTCGTCGTGATCACTTGATTTATCAATTTCCAGTATTTGTTCTTTTTGCTTGCCTTTATCCGTATGTATAATTGGAATCTCGAACCTTTTTCTTAAATATCTAATGACTAATTTTTGCTCATTGAAGTCCAACATAGCTCTAGCTTTTTGGAACCAATCGGTTCATAACAATAAAGTTTTGTCGACCGATTCCAAGACTTGTAGTGCAGTAGGTATTTTTACATTTGAAATATCAATGTTGACTTTTGTAATTTTCTCTAAAGTACGTTCTCTTGCTCCTGTTGTAGTTACAACCACAGTTTTTTGATTCTTCGTTAATTCT